AATGCCGCGACCCTTTAATACAGTTCCTCATGTTGTGGTGACCCCCAACCATAAAATTGGTGTCTCGGTTCCTAAGACCATCATAAATATGTGTTTTCCGATGGTCTTAGGCGACCCCTGTGAAAGGGTCATTTGACCCCCAAAGGGATCCTGACCCACAGGTTGAGAACAACTGATATATATATCATAGTCATGCATTATATTATGAAAAATAGGGAAAAATATTATAATACTTCTGAAAATCATATATACTGTAATCATGCAGTACTCAAGAGGCATGATAATTGAAAAGTGGGAGAATCCTTGTGTATATACACACTGTCTGTAATGTTCTAATTACAAGTTTTTATGAATAATAGCCTAATCATTACCATAGTTGTATTGCTGTTAGAGTAATACTTACAAATTGTTGTAGCTCCTGGACCATAAGCATATTCGGTTCCATATAGTGTTGCTAGTTCTCGAATGGCTCCTTTAGCAATAGAATTCTTTGGAGAAAAGATAAATTGTGGTAGAGATTGAGATATTTTGCTCAGAATGGAAGTCAACGCGGGGAGAATACTTATATTTTGAGAACTAGGTATCATATATTACTGTACTCAGCCCTTAATTCCATAGCTTCAGAGAGAATGTCATACAACAAAGATGCCTGTGACGCTTCAAACATAAACTAATTAATTCTTATTGAGGTATTAGTTGCTTTGACGGAAAGTTTATCTCTAAATTTTTTATTGTCACGGCAGGTCTGTCGATATCTATTATTTAAATAGGATATCAGCCATATTAATTAGTTGTTTTCCATTGCAATAATAACAGTTGCAATCGAGTCTGAGTACTTACCATGCATTTACATGTATAACTGAACAATCATTCCAAAGCATAATTCATACATTATGAAATTATTCTAAAGCAATCTTCAAGCACTCTGGGGTTATACGGAGAGTTCCTACCTCATGCCACAAAGATTTCAGTGATGATCCCATATGCAGAATTTATATTTCTAGAGATAGATATTTAGCATACAGTTGCATAAATCAAGATATTAAAAATTAAGGTAAATTAGAGTTCTTGCTTTTATGGAAGTTTTTGTATGCACAAATATCTGTTCTTCATGGATATTTGTATTGCACCGCAGATGTCAAAGGAAGGACTGTATCATGTACAGGAGATGTACCGTACATGATGTTATATATGACAGTTCCATATCTCCTCAAGCTTCTCTTTAAAATAATGCTTATTTCTGCAGACGTCTGTATATGCATTTGTTCTCATATTTATGACACTTTCAATCACCTGGGGTCATAGGATCCCACCTTATGACAAGCAAAGCCAATGGGGAAGCCTAATACACCGTGTAACTAACTTAACAAATATGGAAAGGAAAATCATAAATGGTGCAAAACTCACTTAACAACTTTCTCACTTAGCAACATATATTTTGGACTCAATTATGGTCATAAATTGAGGACTACCTTCAATATGATTCATCATTCAGTTGAGAGCATCTGAAGACATTGTAAATAGCATGGATTTTTGTTAATTACTTCTTTTCTAAAGCAGCTTTAGAAAATTGGTGGAATTTAAATTGTGCAAGTTATTCTAGTTTGTAATAAACAAGGATAAGAGAAAGGGACATGATAATAAGTCAAGGCAACTTTACTCAGTTTCTAATTATTCAAGTGCTAGGTTCATTCCACTCTTCTTGCATCAACTTTCTAAAAGAACTGTATCCAAAATTTGTTCTCAGTTTTATTTGCATGTTTCCTCTTTTTTTTTTTTTTTCATCTTCGCAAATGCTGTCATCAATTTAATTTCCCCTAAATTTTGTGGAGTTTTTTTCTTTGTGTGTGTGCACAAAGAAATGCTTTTCTTACTCAGACTCCATTGTAATGTACGTCACAGAATTAGGGAAATATTAACTGAATCACCAGTAAATTTGGGAAGAACAAACTGAGTCAGATCATATTATACCGTGGAACCAAATAAATAGTTTATGGGAAGTAACACTAGTTGAGAACATAGGCATTCACTGAGAAAATTAGAAAGTGTGCATTGATATGTGACACAAACTCTGCTTTCATTATGCTTGTGTGCAATGTCACACATTTTATAATTTTGGCATCAATACGGTTAAGGATGAATATCTATGTTTCTGGATTCCACTATTTAAAAATGTTGAATTAAGAAATTAATTTTTATTCTATGAAAAGACATATTCTAAACATTGCAGATTTTTTCAGAGCAGCTGAAAAACTGGATTTTTTTTTGTTTCCTGTTCCTTGTTTGTATCAAGATCTATATTCATTCATTGGGAACCATGAAAGCCTGTGGCAAGTGATGTGAATCCAAATTGTACATTTACAAGCTTTATTCAGACCTTCAGAAAAACTCATGGAAGGTGTGAATAGGGAGAGAAGATGAAGACTTCATTTATCCATCTCCATCCATTCAATAAACATTTGAAAATGTATCTTTTAGAAATATAAAGGCACGAAGCCAGGTTCTAAATGCCAGGTTAGTATAGGAGGGAATATTTTTAAAGAGACATCTCAGGCTGTGGTTGAAGCCATTATTTTATCATACATCTGCCAGTTTTCTTTATCATATTTCATGTCAGAACAGAAATGAAATAAGGTAACATTGTGATAAAATTTGCTTTAGCATTTTTAAAGGGTTTAGGAATTATCTCATACAAGGATATATATATCGATTGTTATTCCTGTGCATCAACAAAGAAAGCAAAAATGGTGTATTAAATAGCATTTACTCTAATCTATAAAGCAAAAAGCAAGCTGCATCATGGCTTAGTGCCGTGATGGTGAACCTATGGCGTAGGTGGCACACGGAGCCATTTGTTGGGGCACACAAGGCGTTGTCCTGTCAGCTCCAGTCACATGGGCATGCTGGCCAGTTGACTTCAGCTTTTTTTTCAAGACCATTTTTTGCCCTCTGCCCTCCAGCTTCCCTGAAGCCTCAGGATGGCGAAAAACAACCCAATGCGCAAACCAGAAGTTCGGGAATGTACTTCTGGTTTGTGCGTTGGGCTGTTTTTTGTGCTCTATTTTTTGCGCCCCTGAAGCCTCCAGGGGGCCTCTGGAGTGGGGGGGGGGAGAAGCTGTTTTTGCCTTCCCGACGCTCCTAGAAAGCATCTGGAGCCTGGGGAGGGTGAAAAATGGGTCCATCGCGCGCCAAAAGCGGGGGTGGGTGAGGGTTGCACGGACATGAGTGCAGAGGGTCACACACATAACATTATGTGTGTGGGCACACCCACGCATGACCCCCCTGTGATCCCGCTGCTTTTGGCACAAGATGGGAAAAAGGTTAGCAATCACTGGCTTAGAATGTTGCATAATTCAATCTAGAATCCCCCTCCTAACTAATAACCTTACATATTCTTTGCCTAACCTCACTTTTGAAAGGGAGATAAGCACTGCTCCCTATGGTCAGCAATGACACTACCAGAGTAAAATCCACAAGTACCCCTTTACCTTTGCTAAAATCTGGTTCTTGAATCTGAAGTCCTCGGACTTTGATTTTGTTTGATACCTCACTTTCTTTCTTGTTTTAACCTTGTATGAAGTCTGGTGGGTTTCTGCATTACTGTTCAGTCATTGGTTGCTTCTTCAGCAGTCTAGAATGGTCTGTGCATGTCAGCCTCACAGAGTGTGCTGTCAGTTACCTTTTGCGTGACCCGTCAAAAGCGCGGACAGCAAAAGCGCGATCGACAAAATCGCGCCTTTGACGTCATCACAGCNTGTATGTATGTATGTATGTATGTATGTATGTATGTATGTATGTATGTATGTATGTATGTATTGTTTTTCAACAACTGGCCCAATCCAGATTAGTTGAGTCTAACTTCAGCATTAATGATATAGAATTTTTCATTTTCCTCAATCAGGAGATACCAGGAGGTAGAACTTCAAAACTTTACTGCTATAATCCATAGCATTAGCTGCTCAATGTAGACATTTCACTATACCTAATAGAGTCATCCTGTTTTATTTTCTGTGCAAACAAATTCATTATCTCTATGACTTCCTGTGTATGTGTAGCAGAGTAAAAGTAAACCGTAGTCTCAGTTAATGACTACTTGTTCAACGACTGTTGATGGCTAGGATTGCTGGTCCTCAGAGTAACAAATTAACATTGTAACTAAGCACTACTCATCAAAAAAAGATAGCTTTTGGAGAAAATAATGCCAATTGATATGAGGGCATTGAATGACCAGTATGAAGCTACAAAATGATTGCATTAAGGGAATGCCTTCATGTACTGTTTTCTATTTTATAGATTTTAGCATATCTTCTAAAATAATAAAATGCCATAAGGTAAAAGGTAAAAGTTCCCTTCACAGATATGTGCTAGTCATTCCCGATTCTAGGGGGTGGTGCTCATCTCCATTTCAAAGATGAAGCGCTGTCCAAAGACGTCTCCGTGGTCATGTGGCTCGCAAGACTAAATGCCGAAGGCGCACTGAATGCTGTTACCTTCCCACCAAAGGTGGTTCTTACTTTTCTACTTGCATTTTTAGGTGCTTTCGAACTGCTAGGTTGGGAGAAGAAAATGTCATATAAGCACCAATATTTGAATGTTTACCCCTCACAACATATCATTATTAATCTTTCAATATTTGATGTAAATATTTTGCAGTATATTTATTGTTGACATGTGATGTTACTTCATATCTGACAATCTTATCAGAAGCAAGATCAAAACAATAAAAAAATGCCAAAAAGTTTCATACAATTTATATTCGGAGGCATAGGAATTACATTTAAAAAATCATGTAAATATTTGGATAGTAGTTTAAGCTAAATTATATCTGCACATACAATATGTATAGAGATTGTATAAGCTAAACTACCAGAAATGGCTCCTCTTCATTTGCAGCTTTCACTATGCATTGAAAACACAACTGAAGCATTTTTTATTTGCAAAAACTATGTAGAAACACATGGAAAATAGTTATGGTGCATATGGTTAAAAGGAGTCCTCACCTGTATTGTAGAGGCCAGGTCCTTCAAGACATTTAGTTGATTTTCATTCTCAAGTTTCACTCGAAATACTTTGTCACTTCAATACAAGTAAAGCACAATGAAAAAAACATTACCATCAAACTAAGTCACATTTTGTTCTATTTCCTTCCTCTCATCATCTGATGTATGGTTGTAAATCATTTAATCAGGCTTACAGTGCTTTGCCAGATTGCATATAACAGTTGCCTATATTCCAACATACAGTCACGAAGCTAGTAAAACCAGTAACTTCGCTTTCAGGAAAAAAACACAATGAGAAATATCTACCTGTCAAAGGAATGTACAAGGACACGCCCCAGAGGTGTAAAAAGGAGCCCTAGAAATGTAAGAATGAACCTCATGATTCCACTTTGTCTGTAAAACTAGATCCTTATTTCTTATATATGCCTTTATATGCAAACACAAGCAGTCAGCTGACTTCCTCTAAAGCTTTCATTGGATACTATATAATGGCTTTTGAATTTGCCAGTTAATACACTTTTAGTCTTCCAATCATTATTACAAAACCTGAGCAGTAAAATGTAAGAAGAAAAACTAAAACTCAATCAGATGAAAAGTGCCATTAAGTGTCATGTTGTATGGTGAGAGATAAACAGCTCTGCAGGATACTTCAGCACATATCAGCCTAGATAGGTGTAAGACAGAGATGAACAACATTTACACCATTCGAAAGAGACTATCAAAAAGCTAAAAAGAGAAGGGGAAAAAAAGCAAAATACCTCCTCACCTGCAATCAACACTCAGATAAGCACGGATTAACATCAAGATTAGTAACAGACCAATAATCAAGCAGTAAACAATACTCCAATCAAGGAACTACCAACCCAGACAGTCAAACAGTAAACAAGTCTTATCAAAAACTACCAAAAAGAAAACAACACTTCTCTTAATACTGAAACCACAAAAGACTCCACAGATAGGTGTGACCCAGAATGATTTTTTTGCAATGTTTTTATGTTTTTTACCTTCATAAACTGCCTAGAGCAGGGGTAGTCAAACTTTTTATACCTACCGCCCACTTTTGTACCTGTGTTAGTACTAAAATTTTCAAACCACCCACCTGTTCCACAGTAAATGGTGATTTATAAAGTAGGGAACTAACTTTACTTTATAAAATTTATAAAGCAGAGTTACAGCAAATACCTAATGCCCCCCATGAAAGCTGGAATGCCCACTAGTGGGC